ACAGCCTGCTATATACCTATGGGTGCATTGGGGATTCAATGAAAAATACGCAAGTCCACACTTCAAGTAAACTACCAACTGAGCCACCCACCAGGAGATGTGTTTTGGCTCTTGGAATTTGACAATCTGGTATCCGGAGTTCCAATTTAAAACATGCTTATCTTCACAGCCAGGGGACATGACTGCACTTAAGTTTTTAAAAAATTAGCTGTAACAGTAGAGAATGGGAGGAGGGTAGTTGGCTTGAGATGTTTACTTGAAAAAGACCTGGGGCTGTGGGGAGGTAGGAAGGGGGATGGTGCGTGTAGAGGGCCTTAATTGCAGAACAAGTTCAACCAGCAGAAATAGAATCCCAGCAAGCATATGCCTCACTCAGCTGGTGAGAGCGGAAGTCAGCTGGTGTGTGGTAAAGAGAGCAGCCCATTAGCTGAAGTGTTCCTTGAGCCGTGGGCATCCGAAATGCTACAGAGGAGTTAGGGGGTGCAGGTTAAGCGTTTTGGTTAAGTGCATGCTGAGTTACACGAGTTTCTGCTGTGTTTGAATTTTTTTCATCTTACATCCAAAACCAAGCTCAGCAAACACAGGTCTCACGTGCCCACAATTCTGACTGGACCAAGAGCTTTGGCAACAAAAGGCTAAATAAAAGCACCAGCCTCTGGTTCACCAACTTTTATCACTACCTGATCATTTAGTTCATTGGCATGACAAGATTAACCACCAAATAGCTTCCTGGCTAATTCCTCTCATCCAAGGTTGTCCTTGATCCCCAGAGGCTAGGGGAGCCCTTGCTTGTGCCCCCACAGTGCTGAGTACTTCTCTTGCCCAAATACTCCTCCTGCTCATAATGACTGATTTGATGTGTCTCTGTTGCCCAACAACAGCAAGCTGTGAGGGCGCAGGGACCGTATGGATCTTGCTCACCTCAGTGGCTCCAGCTCCTTCTAGCATGCTGGCACATGGTAGAAGAATCCATATTTGTTGAAATAAAAATTAAACTGAAATGGAGCTCATCAAAGAACATGTCATGAAGGAGGTAAATCCAGAGAAGAATTTTTTTTCCCTTTATTGAGTTTAGAGAGAGAGAAAGGGAGAGGGAAAGACATAGAAACATCAATGAGAGAGAACACCAACTGGCTGCCTCCTGCACGCCCCCATTGGGGATCGGGCCCACAACCTGGGCACGTGCCCTGACGGGGAATCGAACCAGCGACCTCTCGGTGCATGGGTCAATGCTCAACCACTGAGCCACACTGGCCGGACAGAGAAGAATTTTTGCAACGAGGAACATAAGTTTCTGAGATGAGACCAAGAAATCATATACAGAATACCACAGTTAAAATAAATGTTAAAAAGTACTCCTGGGTCCCTAACGTTTATCTTCTTGAAGAGTGCGAACCTCACCGAAACCACTTTGAGAGCCTGCTCCCGCAGTGTCGGGCTCTGGGGCCCTCTCAGGTGTTTCAGGAGCTTTCGGTTCCCTCCAGCTTCTTACAATAAGTTACACTAATTCTTGAACAAGGTGGACTTGTCAGGGAAACGGAAACTGGTGGCAGAGGAATGTCAAATAGTTTGCTTTCAGAGACATCATGTAACATGCTCATCTGCCCTTTTCCTTTTCCTCCAAAGACACTTTCTTCCTTTTCCTTCTCTGGGTTTTCGATTCCAGATTAAACTCCATAATTTTTTTTTTTCCTTTTCAACTTGCCATGCCCATACCTACTGCTATTTATGTTGAAACTTTGTTCTCTTGAGTTGGGCCCAGAGGGACTGACTTTTAGGGGGCAGGAGAGATTTTTGCCTGTTCCTGCAAGATTATGCATGGCGTTTATCTAAAGTGCCCAGGCTGATGGGAACTTATGGACTCAAGGACTTTTCATCCAAGGAAACGGCTCTGCTGGCTACTCTACCAAGGGAGGACCATGGTCTCCCCGTCTGGGTGTCCTCATCTGGATTATTACATGCTCTGAGAGCTCATTTTGGTGTAATCACAGTACATGGTGAACAAAACCCATCTGTCAGTGAGTGGGAGGAAGGGAGGGAAGAAGGTAAGAGAGAATTAAAATTGTAAAGCCAACATCACGTGGCTTCCTCCTTGAACTTTAATAACCCAGTGCTGCCTGCAGGCTCAGAAAAACTAAATGCAATGGGTAGGTACAAGAATTGCTCTGGTGCCAGGAAAATGCAATAAGACATAACGTTTACAAGGTAAGCACTGAATAAATGCCCTGCAGGAACAAAAAGCCTTTAACATCTCTGAAGTTGGCAGCCAGATGCCTGAAAAGTTGGTTCTGTGCATCCAAAATGCACAACAGATAGGACCACCTTCTTTAAGATGAAGCCAACTTCCAGGGCAAACAATAGCTGGGGAGGCTGGATTTTATGATTCAAGGAAGGAGAGGAATTAGATCAGTATTTTCTTTGCCATAGCAAGACCCATTCTAATGCATGTTAGAAGTGTTCCACATGTTGGGCAAATTTTCTAGAATGTTTTAAAAGAGAAACATTCTGCAGACTACCTTGGCTTCTGCAAGAGCTATCTTTCTCCCTGGGTTGGGGAGGGATCTGATTCTATCCCATGACATTCTTGAGAAGTTCTGAAACTACAGCTCTTCATTTGGATTCTGCTGTTGTTCTGAAATGCAGCTTGGGGTATCTTATTATGCTTTACGCCCAGAAGTGTTAAAGGAAGTGCCTGTCACCGTAACTCAAAAGTCAAAATGAAAATGATGCTGGCAGAACTCAAAAAACCAAAGGGATCAGCATTTTACTTCGGTTTCCTGTTCATAAAACTTTATAAAAACAACCCACCCATTAAAGAAAAAAGCCTACAACAATAGCTCATTATTCTCTTCCTAAACGCTTGCCTCATACCACTCTGAAATAAGGTGCCATCACATTTCCTGAGTTATGGGCTCCGAACACCACATCCCTTTCCTCCCTTCTTTGCCCCTACCTCACCTGGCATCATTCCTGAATTCAGACACTTCTCCAGTTTATGGGCTCAGCAGAGAGAGGCCAGCATTCTCTTTCCTACCTGTCTAGGAGAGGCCAAACACCTGTACCAACTGGAAGCAGAAATAATGGTGGCCCCCTTCCCCAAAACTCATTTCCCTTTCCTAGAGAAACTTTTAATATGGAAGATGCAGAGTTACAAAGTGAAAGAAAACCCTACAGTGGACTGAAAAATATAAATACATTGCCTTGTGATGGTAGTTTTTAAGAATAAGATATTTCCCTTCCACCGTGGCTCTAAAGTAACAATGTATGAAATATTCAATACCCCACCCTCAGTCCCTGGTAGAACATAGGAGAATGCAAGCTCTAGAATAAGAAGCTTGGATACAAATCCCAAGTTTTCCACTTGCTATCTATAGGACTTTGAAAAATCTATTTAACCATGCCAAACCTCAATTTAATCATCTGTAAAATGGGGATATGAGAATTTCAAGGCTTTAATGAGATAAAGCATACCAATAGTTTAATGAGGTAATACCATGTCAGCTTTTTAGGTACAAGGTAAACATATATTCCATACTGTTATTACTTTTCTGGTATATAAAGCCTCCCACTCCTCGTTGTTTCAATGAATTAGAGAGGAAAAGATGGGATTTCGGGATCCTTGCTTCCAAAGGGGTTAATTCTTTAATTTAAACCCATGATTTCAAATACTGATTTAACTATTGAATATACATAATAAAAGTAACACAGTGAAGAGTGAAACTGGCCTAAATTTGAAAACATGGGATCTAATCCCGGTTCTAAAACTGAATGTGCCGTGTGAACTTCGGCAAGTCAATTAAACATTTTGAGGTGCAGTTCCTTGAACTATAAAATAAGACGATTGAAACAAAAATGCTATCTTCTTTTTTTTTTTTTTTTTATCCTCACCCGAGGACATTTTTCCATTTTTTGTACAGACAGAGTGGGAGGGAGAGAGAGGAAGAGAGAGAGAGAGAAAAATCGATGTGAAAGGGACACATCGAGTGGCTGCCACCCGCACGACCAACCAGGGCCAGGGACAAACTGCAACCAAGGTACATGCCCTTAGCGGGAACCGAACCCGGGTCTCTCCGGACCGCAGGCGGGCACTCTAACTGCTGAGCCAAACCGGCCAGAGCAAAAATGCTATCTTCTGTGATTCTATAAAACAGCAATGACTGAAGTATATATGAAGTAGTGTCTCAATTTTATGCTATTTTATTTCAGGAAAGAAAATCACGTGACAATATCACTGACAAAAGCATCCTTGTTTAAAATCAGCATGTTTGGTATAGGCAAACCACATTTTGTGTCAGTTTACTATGGTTGTATTTTATAAGGGCTCATCAGAAGATTCAGCTTAATATCCTTATTTCTCAGGAAATGCATAAGCATATAGGTTTCTTCAACATCAAATGGTCAAGAAAACAAGGTTGAAGCAGAGGTAAGATCAACCAGAAGCAAAGAAACACTGAAAAGAAAAATGCAGCTAGACTACAAATGGAATGAAACTGGCCCAAAATACTGTCACTTAAAAATAGGTACTTGGCTGCCTGGTGTCTGTGTTATCTGCATGACAACATTTGGTTCCTACTACGTCCTCTTCCTACAGGCCTGCTATGACTGTGAGAGCTCTCTGTTCCTTCAGTGACAAAGTCTTGCTGCCTCATGGATTTTTTCCCAGTCATAATTTCCTTTCTGTCCTTTGGGTAGGCTGCTTATGTCCAAGTAGTAGGTCTGCAGCCATTGGAATGTAACACCCAGATGGCTACTGGCATCAGCTGAGCACCAGGGGCTTTCCAAGGCGGAGGGCTCCGTGCACCCAGGCCAAACTGCTGAACCAAAGTATTTACATTGATGTCACACATTTTAAAAGTCAGAACTAAAGACAAAGATACATTGCAACAACTTCTAAACAGTGCCCTATAGATAACAAGTGGAATTAAAATTAGCCAACCAACCACAAGCTTCATTATTCTTTAACATCTGTGTCTCCCACTTGACTGTAAGCTCCACAAGGGCAAGAATCATGACTCCCTTGTTCATGGTTGTAACTCCAGTGCTGAAGGACGCCTGGCAAGTGACAGAGCGCAATGAATATTAGCCATCGCTAATGTCGACAGAGGGTTTGCTCTCTGCCAGGCACTGTTCTTTGACTTTACAGGATGTATCTCAGGCAATCCTCACAACAATCCAATGAGGTGGGTACTTAATTAAACTCAGAGATAGGGAGGGAGGGGGGATGTGGGGGGAGAGAGAAACATCAATCTGTTGCTTCCCACACGTGTCCTGACTGGGGATTGAACTCACAACCTGGGTATGTGCCCTGACCAGGAATTGAACCCACCACCTTCTGGTGTATGGGACAATGCCCCAACTGAGCCACACCAGCCAGGGCAGAGGTGGGTACTTCTATAAAGGGAGAAAATGGGGCACAGAAAGTTCAAGCAACTTGCCCAAAGTCACAGAACTGGTAAATGGCAGAGCTGGGGTTCAAATACAAGTACTTTGCTTCCAAAACCTGCAGTTCCAATTATGAAGTGGAACATTAATTTCTGCAGGCTATTTGCAACTTAGCAGGCATCCTAATGCCAGAGACTATGATGCTGTCGGTCAAGGTTTCGAGCCCACTAGATATGATTAAAAGAACAAACGAGTTAGGAGACCTAGGTTCAAACCTTAGCCCTGGATTCCTACACTGACTTTGCTAGAGCCCTGTGACCTCTTTGCTCACCGGTTCCCCCTTGCTGGTTAATACGGGGTTGGGTGGTCACTCAGGTCTTTGACAGTTGTAAATCCCAAATGCTAGAGTCACCCTAGATGTATTCTTACATCCAGACAACTGCAGGTCACACAAGTGTGCTCCTCCACGTTCCAGCAAGGGAGAACCACCAAAATGTCCTCAACGATCAAGCAAGTTACTCAAGCTCTCAGAGCCTCAGTGCTCTCATCTGCAATTGGTCATAATAGCACCTACTTCAAAGGGTGGAGGCGAAGATTATAGAGAAAGAAGCCAGGTAAGGGGCTGACACATAGTAGTAATTTCATAAACAGTAGCTAGGTTTATTATGGTCCCAAAGAGAGCTGGGAGGTAAGTCTGGAGGAGGAAAAAATCTCCTCAAAGCTCCTGAACCAACCAACACATCAAAAAGATAGCACTGAAACAAAGATTTTAAATAATTTCTAAGAGTATAGTCCCCAGAGCAAAAATTCCTTATTGGATTCTCTTTCAAAAATGGGAGTAATGCAGTCAGGGTTGAGTGGACTTTGGATAGAACAAAAAGGAACCATTGTGATTTTGGAGGTTAACATGTGAGTGCTGAAATGCTAGAAAATCATGTTCGGTGCCATTTGTTCTATGCCAGGCCCATGACAGGCACGTGACATGCATTATCTTACTGAGTCCTCGCAACCTACTGAACTTGTTTTACAGATGAGGGCACAGAAGCTCAGAAAGGTCAAGTAATGTGCTCAAGGTCACACAGCTACTAATCTACACTAGAACTCAGTCTGCCTGGAACACTGATGGCCTTAAACACACAGCTGGACCCCCTCCCCAAGGATAGAATGTTGTAGGCCTCAGCAAGCTCCAGATCCACAGGGAAGCAATCCTTGTCCACAACATGGGCAGGTGGCTTTATATACAGGGTGTGTGTGGCTCAAGTGGCCTTGGGTTTTAGTCTCTGTTTACTCCCAGACTCCTGGGAGCAGTGGACAAATCATTTTATTTTCCTGGATCCTGTTTTGATCAAACAAAATGTAATGGATTAGAGTTTTTCCGTCCAAGTCTTGTGGAATATTAACAACTTACATTTTACATCAAGGAGTTCAAGGATAAAAGAGCCAAGACTTGAGCTGACCCTCTATGGTGTTATCCTGGTTTGGGGAAGTAGCAGAATACCTTTGCAAACTAACACAGAACTGGGTGACTCCTCAATTCCCTTTCATTGTGAAAATTCTGAAATTCTACTGAATATTATGTGATAGAGGAAGAGAAAGGGGAGGAGAGGAACTACAGGAATCATGGGAGAAGTGGCAGGGACCTCACCTTGAAGCTGTGTTTACATACCAACGACACTGTACACACTTAGCTTTTAAGATTATTTGGGACGCTGTGGGGTGGAGGGAGCTGGTGCAGATAATGGGGAGGAAAGCAAAGTGTCTCCTTTTTAAATTACCACTTTGGCACACAGCTAACACTCAATAGACACTGATAGAAGTGATTTTAAAGGAAAACAGACCTGGATCAAATTGATAGAAGCTGAGCTGCAGAAGAAGTATGAATACGTCAAAAATACTAACAATGCCTTTCTTTTGTTCCCAGCCACCCACTCCACCATAAGCCATTTTCAAACTAAAGATCAATTCTTTTTCGTTTGAATGAGCACAACTCTCCCAGTGGGATAACTACAGGTAAACCTTCCCCCTGCCTCCATCCCACGCGTTTGGAATCTGAACAAAGGTGAGCTGTCTGGGAGCTAAAGAAATTCTTATTTTCAATTGTATTGTTGCCCATGGTAGTGACAAATATTGTTTCATGAGTTTCCAGCTTAGCTTTAGAGCTCAAAGGATAAACTGCTTCCGCAAGAAAGAAACAGGAGAAAGGAAAGAAAATTAAAGAAAGAATTTAAGCAATATATATGTGGCTTTAAAAAAAAAATTTTTAATAGCAGAGTCTTTTCTTTCCGGGAAAGGTGGCAGTGTGCTAAGGCCTCAGACCTGCTAAAGTCTCCGTTTGAGGTACCAGGAGTGACAACGTTGAGGAGTTCTTTTTGTATTTTTATTGTACATACAGGATTTCAGAGTAATCTTGGTTCTTCTGACTCCTAGCTGATGCTTCTTCCATGCAACCAGTTAGCCTCATGAGCCATGATCCCACGCTACACACACACCCCCACGCAGGCTGGCGCATAATAAGTTCTCTATACATATTTGTTAACTAAATTAAAGAAAACAGAAGAAAGAAAAAGATTCAGAAAATATGCACCAAAGGCTGCCAATATGAGTGGATTGACTCATTTAAAAACTTTTGTATATCTTTGAACTTACATCCAGAAAAGCCCCTCCCTCATCCTTCTCTTTCTTTTCAAATAACACCAATTATTCAAATCCTAGACCAACTTTGCTTCTGAAGAAGCCTTCCCAAATCAACCCAACCCACAAAAGATGGTTCTTCCTTTTGAGTTCTAACAACCATTACTACTACCCGTTATTAATCGTGTTTGGCCAGGTGGCAAGTTTTGAAATTACTTCGTTTTCTTCAGCCACATAACTTTTCTGATTATCTCCTAACCTAGAATTCCTGACATGCAGGGCCTTTCCACACCTACCCCTAGATCCAATCTTCGGGCTCTGGAGCAAAGAAAGAATGACTTCCAGAGCAATGACTAATTACAGCTCATTTTAAGCTAAATTAATCAGTTGTTCCTACATTCAACTTCTTTCAACTAGTTTAATGGTCGATTGAATCTTGGTGCTCTTCTCCTGCTGCCCGGGGAGGCCCTTACAATTGGTATCTGGTCAACTGCATAAGACTGCTCAGGGAAGGACTGTACAGATATCAACAGATCTGTATCCCCTCAAAATACCTCATTAAAATTAAGGAAAATACTTATCAAACCACCAGATCTACCCACCACTTTACAGAAAACAGGAGGGTAGGGGGGAAAGTAAAGCCACATCATGAGAAAGCAATTCCCAACTCCAGAATAGAAAACATTTCACAAGACAAATGACCCAGTTTCTACAACAGATCAATAGCAGGATCAATCAACAGGAGAAAAGAGAGGGAGGTGGAAGTTTTAAAGAATATCAACATAAGAAATGGGTGAAGCATGTTGGGATCCTGACTCAAACAGACCAACTGTACAAGAAACCTCTTTGAGACAATGAACAAGAATTCCTTAATATCACCTAAGATGCAGTCCAAAGGCAAATTTGAATTGGGGGAAATTGATGACACTAAGAATTCTTAGTGGTCTTGTTTTGTGTGATAAGGTGTGGTGGCTATGTAAAAAATAAAATGTCCCTATCGGGTGGAGATGTATACTGAAGTACTGACGAGTAAAATAATGTGATGACTGAGGTTTCCTTCAAGTGCCCCTAAAACACAGTGCATAAGAAAAGTTTAACCATTGTTGCTGCTACATGCTGGGTGAACAAAGGTGCTAATTACACTATTCTCTCTACTTCTCTAATGTGGACGGATCATAAGGTACCATGTTTAATGTACTAAATTGCCCAACTTAGAAAATTACAGCTCCAATGCTGGTGAAGTATAGTGAAAATGGCACACTTAGGATTCTTGAGGACAGTAAAAACTGTAACATCAAGAGATGTCAGTATCTACCAAGAGCAATACAAACGTGCAAGTGTTTCGGCCAGTATTCTGACATGTGTGAATTTACCAAAAGAAAATAATCCAAAATGAAATATTTTCAGTGCATAGTTCTTTAATAGTGATGTATTAAAAATAATAATAGATTAACTACTAAATATGGAGAATATACTATGTGCCAGGAACTATGTTAAATGCTTCAGATACATTCTCCTCTAAACAACCCTGTGAGGAACGTTATCATTCTCCCAGGAAGTCCCCAAGAGGCACAACTAGGAAGTGGCAGAGCAGGAAATATGGGTCAGGCTGGCTCCAGGACCTGCATTAAGTTCCGCTGAAATCCTAACATCCAGCAACAGGGGATATTTAATTAAATTATAGGACATCTACTAGGCAAACACTGTGTGAACATTAACAAGTATACTTATGATATCAAGCAACATGAAAAATGCTAAGTTAAAAAGGCAGGAAGAAAACTGATTATTAGGGCACCTATACAATCTGTATATATGTGGAAAAGCCTGGCAGGGAAAATACAGAAAATAAAAATCATGGTTGTATCAGAAGGGCAGTCTCGCAATTATGGGCCATGTGGTTATGTTAATTTTTTTTTTCTTTCTATTTACCATCAGATAGAGTGGGAGGGAGGGAGAGAGAGAGAGAGAGACAGAAACATCAATGTAATAGAGCCACATTGACTGGTTGCCTCCCGCATGACCCGACCAGGGCCAGGGACAAACCGCAACCGAGGTACGTGCCCTTACCGGGAATCGAATCCATGACCCATTGGTTCGTGGGCCGATGCTCTAACTGCTGAGCCAAACTGGCCAGGGCTGATTATGTTAATTTTATAATGAAAAAAATTATGGCGAGGTTATTGAGCTGAGGTGTATGACCACTGCTGATGGAACTAAGGCATTTTGGTAGTGGGGTTTCCATAAATATTGTGAACCAAAAGTTTCTTCAAATATGTTTTTTTTCCTCTTTGGAAGCCTACCAAAACTAAAGAAAGAAATATCCCCCCCCCCCAATATCTTTCCCATGAGCTCAGCTAGGAATTCACCTACTTTGATCAGAAAGCAAGAATTATCCCGTAGTTTCCTCTTGCAGTAGAGGCTGAGGAAGATGTTACAAGATAAGATAGATGTCTTAAACATACCCCAAGAGGAGAAAAAAAAGACAACAGTGTAAATGAATCTACAAAGGATTGTTTTATGATTGAGGTTCCCTCTGAGTCTTGTGAAATCCTCTCACAGGTCGTTTGTTATTGGCATGACTGAGAAAGCAGAGACCCAGTTCTCCATCTTATCATGGTCCAGCCCAGGCACATCCTAACTACATCTACAGACTGCTAATCACCTCAAAATCCCACCCCGTGGCTCAGCATCCTGAACCCTCTACTCTTCCTCCCCATCACTTCCCTGGACAGACAGATTCAATCCGCTCCCAGAGACAAGTTCATGGTGAGATTATGTACACGGAAGTGCTTTGGAATCTATTAAATGCCCTAGAGATGAGAGGTTATCCTGCTATGTGTCCTTGTGTTTTTCTTTGGCTATAAATGAATTCCAGAGACATTCCTTGGGGGGGGGGGGGGGACCAATTACCTAGACCCCAGGTTATTTTAACTGCTAGAACCAGAGTTGCCATAAATAATCAACTTTTTTATGACAAAGCTTCTGCCGCAGCCCTGGGGATCATTATCACTTGGAAAAAAAAAAAAAACTCATCTGTAAGCCAAGCCACATGACTATCTGTGACTCTATGTGGTATTTATCAGTACCTGTCACCAAGATAACAGCTTAATATTGAATAAAGGAGGCAAGAATATTGTAGAGAAAGCCCTGTAAGAGGTTCCCCTTAAAAAAGCCAAACAAACAGGAAAGATCTTGGGGAAAGAAAGAAAACAGAACAAGCCAGCCAGCCAGTTGGAAGAGAAGACTGAGCTAAAGCCACCGACCCTTCAGGGAGTTAGTGAAACGTCTGTTGAAGATTATAGAAAAGCTACTGTTTCAAAGTCTCTGAACAGAAGAGGAAAAAACACAAAGAGAGTTTGCTGAACAGAGAGCTTTAAACAATTCAAGTTTAAACAAACAGAATTCCAGGAATTAGGAAGAGAGGAAATTGCAAGGTGCTTTGCAAACCACTGCAAAGAAAAGATGTTTTAACTATTAAATGCCAGAGATAAAAAAGGAGATCTTGTTGCAGTGCAGTTTATTTTAGAGGGGGAAAGGGTGAGGACAATAAATAATCATAGTAGTAAATAATAATAGTAATTGTAAGAACAAATGATTGTATTCCTGACAGCTGGCCTTTTTGGACCACTTATTAGGGGCAGCACTGTTGAGTACTTTGTCAGCATCATCTCCTTTCATCCTCATGACAGCCCTGTGAGCTCAGACCTACTAATGACCCCCTTTACAAAGGAGGAACTTGAGACTCAGACAGGTTCCACAACTTCTTTGAGGTCACAATGGTAGGACTATGATTCAAACCCAGATTTGCTTAAAAGCTCAGCCTCTGAACCATTTACACACAGGTATATAATTATCAAATCTTATAGATCATTCTTTTTTTTTTTTTTCATCCTCACCTAAGGACATTTTTGCATTCATCTTCAGATACAGCAGGAGGGAGAGAGGGAAGGAGAGAGAGAGAGAAACATCAACATGAGAGAGACACAATGACTGGTTGCCACTCACATGACACCAACCAGGGCCAGGGACAAACTGCAATGGAGGAACATGCCCTTAGCAGGAACTGAACCCAGGACTCTCTGGCCCGTGGGCCAATGCTCTAACCACTGAGCAAAACCGGCCAGGGCCAGATCATTCTAATTTTGAAGATTATTGATAATTATACAATTCAGAGCTGATGGCCAAGTTGGTCAGCATTCTGTCTCCTTAACTTCCTTCCTAAAGGTAACATGAAAAGAATGAAATGCATCCGGTCGGTGTAGCTCAGTGGTTGAGTGTCGACCCATGCACCAAGAGGTCCCCAGTTTAATTCTGGGTCAGGGCACATGCCCAGGTTGTGGGCCCGATCCCCAATGGGGGGCATGCAGGAGGTGGCTAATGGATGTTCTCTCTCA